GCATTTTTATTCCCTTTTTGAAGTGCAATATCTCACACAGAGAAAAGCGATGCAACTGGTTGTGCTTTTACATGGCAAAAACCTCGTCCATCACATACACAAATTCCTGAAATTACGCTTCACCTCAATACTTTGAGCAGGTCCATTAAAAAGTTTCGCAGTGTGAAGTTGAGAGACGAGATTATTTCGACTTTCATGCACTCACCAATTCGGAGTGTATTTTCTCAATTTATCCGGGAAACTTTTAGGTATTTACGATTGATTTATGAAACGATTTGAAATCGTGCACGACTACTTCACTTTTGTTTTTACTTTATGCTTAAATTAACTTAACGTTCTGGAATGTCACTCGCCTTGTCCTACTATTACAAGGTACATAAGTAACACTGACTGGGATTGTGTTGCGTCACTTGCTTCTCGGGTGTCAAAAGATTGGAAGCAAAACGTTTATCTTTGCTTAAACTTTTGTCAGGACATTTTTATTTATCTTCATCTTAGCGAAAATGGCACAAACACAATCTATTACCTATAACATGTTTTCGCTCACGCTCACGCCCATGCAATGTTCAGTTAGCCGAGTGGTGAGATACAGGGTGGTAAGAGGGCGAAGTGGTCACGAGAGTAGTGAAGGTATTGAAAGTTTTGGTAGAAAGTAAATGCATTCACATTTTGTGCATTTCATACATTCATGCAACTGCCTGCCTTTCTCTTTATCGTACTACAGGCAGCATTTTCAAGTAGCACTCACAGAGCATGGAAAATTGATAAAGATACTACCATACTACCATAAAGGCAACAAAAGGATTCATATAAGAGTTTTGCAATCGACCAGTAAACTTTTGGGTACATTAACTAGTCGAAATACTTAACAACAAGCACAAGATACGGAATATAAAGCACTGTATTGTTAGATGCATGCAGTTGCTACATACAAGCACTTATGTACCAAAAGCCATACGCGGGCATATCACGCAGTTCGGTGCTTGGCAAGGAAACTATTTGTAACATACTGGATAGTGTTGATATTGTTGACGACTACTATGTCTCTAGAGCAACCAACTTAGCCAAGTTTAAGGTGGCAACTTCAGTTGAAACAAAATATGATATGGAGTTAAAGGCGTTTCGTGGCATGATTTCACATATTAATACTGTTGGAAACGCTATAACGTTTTCCAACTTATCTATGGTAATTATATTTTGCTTTTCAATACGCTCTACATTCCAAATGCAAAGCCAACAAGACAAGTGTTGGGAAATCCAATGCACTGCACTTGCTGCAACTAATCGTTCTTCTGTCTCGTCGTATATTGAAATATCTTTGGCTCACGAAAGAAAGTTGCGCACCAACTCCTTGACAGACGTAGCATCTGGCACGTTACTGCTCCAATTCTGCTTCTTCGACAGCAAAAGTTGCTGGTGTTGCTAGTGTTGCTAGTGTTGTTAGTGTCATCCTAGTGAATGTGAATGGGAACTTAATGTTGTGTACATTTTATACATAAGCGTCACCGTATCATAGCACTACAGCAGAGTACATAGCAGGCAGTAGAGCTCTGCTGTACTCTGCTGACCAGCCGCGCGACCGACCATGCAAACCGTATCTGTATCGCACTCGTGAAGGAAGACGTAATCTCTGCAAGAAGTTGGAGGACATTGATTTATTTAAGTTCGATTGATTCGTTTCCTGTACGTAGCGACCAAGTAGGATTTTAGTGTGTGTTTTATTATTGAACAATGGAGCGGGCAAGGCAAGTGCATTTATTTTCCTATCTTTACTACTTTTTTCTTTTGTTTGCCTTTTAACGATTTTATTGTTGCTGTGCCACTACTTCTACTACTACCACTACTGCCACTTCTTCTTATAGTGCGTTTTCTCCAGTACTACGTATCTATCTTGTTTAGCTCACTTTCTATAGACATTCTTATGGATTAAGTTTTATAGAAACGTGACTGGTGTCGTTTTCTGGTATTATTATTCTTTACAATGTACTTAGTTTAGCTGTTGTTAGTGTTATTGTTGTTTTATTGCTACTGTTATTGTTATTGTTATTATATTTTGGCGATTTCTCATGTTTGTGTAAACTTCTAGAATTCCTATTCTCTTCTGATATAGATACACACATAGATATAAAAGTTCACATGACGATACCCATAGCAAGTTGATTTTAATGTTCGCAGACATGCACATAATGAGAAAGAGATTTTCTTATAAGTTCCCGATTGTGTCCTGTTGCTGATAAACAAGTCACAACATTCTTTATTTTATTTATTGGATTTAGTGATAATAATGAATAAATAAATAAAATACACGACAGTGCTTAATTTTGATTATATAAAATGAATAATAATACTAAAGGAGAATTTAACGTATTTCTGCAAAAATGAATGAATTCATTCAAGAATCCATTTATGAGGGATCCTTTTTTAAGTGCTGAGCAAATACATAGCATGCCTAATTGTTTGCAATAAAACATGGAAAATAACATCATAAAAATTGAACTGGAAAGATAACCTTTATTAAAGTAGAGCTTTAATTTTATGTGAAGTAATGAAAACTGCAATAAGAGATATTATTATATTTATTTATTTATACAAATTGATGATTTATAATAGCTAAATTACAGATTGTATTGTGTACTTTATATAAGAATAGGAATAAACGGGATATCTGCTCCCAACGGAGCGGAGCACTGCGACTATGGCTGATTTTTTGTGCTGCAACAGACCCTAACTGAACAGAAGATGTTTCGTCTTCCAAATGAAAACCAGAATATCGGTCGTTGAGGACCTTCTAAAGTCAGAAAGGGAGTGTAGTTTTCCACCCAGTGACCTCCTCCTGGCCCAGATCAAGGCTGGTCAGGCACAGAGACTGTAACTGGAAGTCTCGTCTGCTTCTAAACAGAGTTGACAATCTATCTCTTCGGACACAGTCCATGGTGACCCATTAAATGTCCCACCAGCAATTTCAACTTTGTTCTGCTGAAGAAGGATACCTTTCTGCAACTGTAAGAACGAACCAGCTCTTTAGCCTAATGATGACTTGAAATATCGCTTTAGTAGCGACTTCTCTCGGCTGAAAACCATTAATCATTCAGAGACCTAGTTGTAGACCAACTTAATCTTGTGGATTGGATGGCTCCAGTCCACAGATTATTTAATTCCTCTGAAAAAATTCTAGATCAAGTTCCAAGTAACATTGAATCATTTAATATAACCAAAACAACACTATTCGTTTCTAATAAGACAGTATTCCAATAGAATCTTTAAAGCGTTCAAAGCATGAAATAAATCCTATAATATTTGATATTGTACACTAGAGTGCAACTTAAAATTAATAGAGATGTCACTTAAATATCAAATCAGCACTTAAGTAAAGAAAGTACAGTAAAGGATCTCATTTAGGCATTAATCTCAAATGGCTTCAAATGGTTTGTGTTCTGGAATAATAAATAAAATACATTGATTGATAGAAGATTCTTCGATTGATAAAAGAACCGTTTCTGGAATGGTTCAAATGCGACTCATTTCTTTATATATCATTGATGTTCACTTCTGACGTTTTTCAAAAAACAAAATTTTTGCTTTTAGTGCAACAACGCGTAAACTATTTGTGACATACTGGCTTATCCATATGTTTATGATGGGAAGTTGCAGTTCTAGGATGCAGTTATTGAGATCACGAAACCACTTTTCATCAATAATGCCATGAAAAATGTTATGTGTGCTTCATAAGTACACAGCTCTTGAAGAAACGTCCTTCACTTAAACGAAAGACACAACACAAAAACTACACACCAATGTAGTAGTTGCACAATATATCATATGATGGGTGCGAATATAACAATTGTGCAGTATATGAGTAAGTGAGGGAGTGAGTGAGTAAGTGAGGGTATGACGCATGCAATTGCAATGAAATATCACTATTTTGCATGCGTTTTCGTTTGAACGTCAGAAAGCAATAGATTTTTTTCCTTATAATTTTTGAATGAATGCAAATGAAACTCATGTATATTGTAATTATAAATAAATTACAAATAAAAACAGTAATTATAGGTATTTACTTGGATATGCAGACTAATACGAAAGGATATTGCCACAGGATAAAAAATACATAATAATTTTTAAGTTGCAATAAACCTAGACGGTGTCACAGTAATTATATGAATACTACTTACTAAATTAATTTTGATCTAAATTAAGTTAATAAATATTGTCGTATTTCATATTTTCACTAAAATTGTCACAAAATTATATACTGTAGTATTGGCTCCATTTATGCTGCCATTTCTCGAATTTCGCTTTTTTAAAGGCTGAAAGGCATAATTAAAAGCGCTAACAACTCAACTCTCATTAAACTGCTTATCTCGACAAAATTGTTGGTTGCGGGTGTAAATAACTTAACACCTGCTGCCATACTAGCCAAGCCCACTCCACAATATACAGTCCACAACACAAGTTTAATTGGAGGTTTTTCACCAGACCTGAACGAAACCAAACCAAGCAAATTAAAGCCAACAAGCCACAACAACTTTTCGGAAACCCACTATTTTTGTAACTATACACATAATAATTATCACACCTACAAAATTAAGCAATTTACTTTTAAATATATACAATATTAACCCTCAACAGACTTACAGTAATGAACCGCAATCCTATGCAAATTTGATATCCTTGAAATCCACTGAGTATCCAAAATTTGAATTTTGTCCTTTTTTCCACTTCAAAATATTTTCCTAACTTCAACTTATGGAATAACCACTACTACATCAGCTTAAAATACGGACTGACTGACCACCATCATCTTTCACTTCTACAACGATATTCCGCTACTGAACTTTATTTTTACTGTTGACTTCAATGGTTAATTTAGTGTTGCCATATCGTCAAACAAAATAATTTAGATTTCTTTTTCTGAATAATTTTTCTGAAAATTTTTTACATCCATTTACCGAGTTCCATTGATTCATTTTACTACATGTACTTTTTTGATCTTTTCACAGGTTGCTGTTTTGTCACATTTTACACCCGTCGTGCTGCCTTGAAAGCCCAAGATGCGCTACATAACGTGAAGACCTTAAACGGGGTAAGTTCATAAAATTTTAAAGCAATTTGCCACACTCCTTTACGTTCATTGCTCTAATTAGGATTTGTGAAATGTAGCTGTGTATATAATTTCACATTACACAGATCTATGTGTGAGATTCTACGGGATGCATGCCATCCATACCAGTGATACACTGATAAGCTCTAGTCATGCAAAATTTACCCAGTAAATTATGACTACTGAAAGCGGAGCTACCAAGCACTGTATTTGAATCAAATAATTATAGAATATAATGGTTTCTATATATTTTTAAATTTGGCTATAGGTCCCTTATACTCTATATTTCGACTCTCCTTGAGAGTCATCATCTGGATCACGATCTTACATAAATTAATATTACTAAAACTATATTTACGTCATCCTCTTTATTTTATCGTCTATATTGCAATATAGACGATTGTACAATTTAGACGATAGAATAAAGAGGATAACACAGATATAGATTAAGTAATATTAATTCATGTTAGATCGTGATCCTGATAATGACTGGAGATAGACTGTGATAAAATATGGAGTATAATAAAAAATATTGAACGTTAAGTGACCTTTAGCCAGATTAAAAAATATATAAAAAACGTTTAAAAAAAAACAGGTCGATATATAAATTCAAAAAATATTCATTAAAGTATATATTTACACAAATATATATATGAAAACTTAATAGTTCAGTAAGGGCATCATTTTCATCGATCAGGCACAGCATTCACCTGATTTGGTACCGTGTGTCTTCCGACTACTCCTTAAACTAACACTGACAATAACAGGAAATCGTTTTTCCTCAGGGACCTCAAGATTGATCCCATCAAAAAATACATAAAGGATAGAGCCCTGAAATTATTTGCGAAATCTGACAGACTTACTAACTCAGAATGGTTACAGGCTCCTCGGGGAGATATGCAGATCTGAGGTCAATTATTGCTTAGTCTAATGAAGTGATAAACAATAATCCAGTCAAGACGCAAAGAGGGGTTTTGTAGAAACCTCGCAGTTAATAGAGAGTAAAAGTGCTCAGGTGCACTGACTCAACTCAATTAGCCTCAACATAGTAGTAGGAAATCGCTTCGATATCATCTCGATCACAAAGAATGCATTGCCCAACATACTAACATAATTACGACTCCGTCCGATGTATATAAAGACGGTCTTGAAAACTCATTAAACGTTTTATTGACTAAGTTTTGGAAATGAATTTTTTCTGTTTACTATAATAAGTTTTTCATAAAATTGAGCAATTAAGTATTGGCCTACGACGGCAGCTTGTGTCATGAAAAGTTGCTACAAATCCATGCTCCAATAGTGTCATTCGTATTAAACACTTTAAAGAATGAAAAAATTGCGTGATTTACCCGCACGAAAGCGATTATTTTTTACGCTAATCTGGCCCATGATATACCACCAGCAGCAGTATATCGCCTTACTTAATAAACTTTTGCTAAATCTTGCGCATATTTAAGAGGATTTCGTGTCCCAGAGCCTCGCTGCCACAATATCGTACATAAACTTGCCTATGTAGTGCGCGTATATCACTAATTTCTCGGCACAGCATTTTTATAAAGAATAATTTTTCCTTTCGCACATTCACGTCTACGTTTTTTTCTTTCTATTCTTTTTGCTTTCTTTTCCTCTGAATATTTATTTTCTCTATTTTTGTGTTAATCACATTTGAAAAATGGTGCCAAAACAGTCAACGATAAATTTCCAGCTTAAGAGTACACAACCAATTTTGTGCTGACCCTTTTCTTTCAGTTCATACTATTTTTGTTGCTTTTGTTGTTGTTGCGCTTTATCCTTGCCTGACTTGACTTAGCCTATGCCATACACTGACACTACACACTAACACATAGGTATATATACAGGGAGAAACGCAAGTTACTGCATAATGAATTCATGCCGCCGAAAAGTATGTGGCAAAAAATTCTTAACCTGTATATCAGGCCATGAGTTCCTAGTAGTACTTTATGACAATCTGTGGTATATTTATTCCATATTTGTTCATTTATCCATTGTTTTCTTTTTCTCTTCATTGGAAATTTTTTGCCAGTCTTCATTGTGAAGTCCACCCACCGTTGCTTGAGGCTATATTTTTAGAAGTATGCCCGTATGCTCTGAACTTTAGTGCTGTAATATACTACTTGCTATGGCTTCACTCAAAACTGTTCTATATTCGAAAAGAGTTGTTACGGTCAAGGAAATTGAAAGCGTTTTTCTAATAATACGGATACAAGCACTATTACGAATTATCCCAGTTCTAAGCAGTTCTAATTTAATCATATAATTATCCTTTCTTCTGGTATTCAAGGGATATATTTTTTATGTCAGAAAATTTTATTTTGAGATTATTTTGAGATTTGCAGACAGTAATGAACACGTCAAATCTCAAATTATTGTTGGGTTCAATATAAATTACATATATTTAGATAACTAGAGCAAGATAGATGGTAGATGATTTCATTAAGAATTGGTCAAGGTGACAAACTAGAAAGGTTTCACCTCATCATATAAGTACGAATAGTTTTGCAAGTTAATAAATATTAGAATTTGCATATAAAAAATCATACAATTCATTTTGACATAACCAAGAAATATCTAATAGTAGTAACGGTACGAAATTAAAAGTTGCGATATAGTTTGATCGGTTACAAGATCGATAAATATCGATTGTATTCAGACCAAAGTAACCTGTTCATATTTCACATTATGAGACTATCTACAATTCGCTTTTTGAATTTGCTTGATTTTTTTATCTGATAGTATTGCGGAACTGAAGGCAATAATTACTGATCCTGTGTTTTACTATTTTCTTAGAGATATATCTAAATGTAGTGAAATTCTAATTCTATGTCACTCTTAGAACAATGTCATCGATTTTATTAGAAAGATTTTGCGCTTGTGTTGTTAGTACACATGTATTGCCATAGATTATTTTACTTCCGCTATGTTTTCAATGTACAGGTCGATTGATATCATATGAGTCATGACATTAAAAACCGGGGACATGGGACATGACCTGACGGTTCTGAATACTGCAGACTTTCCACCAAATCAATTAGTAATAAGATGCTATCGAACGTACAACCGGTATATACATAACGTTGGTAATATTTTCTTTTACTTTTATGATCCAGGAATGCCTAAAATTCCTTATCTTTATAATATCTTTTTTCTCCACATTTTTTTTCTCATATTTTTTTTTTCTTAGCTATTCATTTAATTACTCTATTACGACTCTCTTATATACGCTTTCCACTCCTAATTTGCACTCCATCTGTATTCTTTATTTTTTACTTGTCATAATATATCACTCTCAGACCAAGCAAACCAAATATAATATTAAATATCCCCAAAATAGAAAAACGCTCCGCCAAAGAATTTTACAATCCGTCACAAAAAGAATACCACTATTCTTTTACGTATAAACGTATAAACGCATAAACGTATAAACGTATAAACGTACTTTCTCGAACAACACGTTATTTCCGTTATTTGGTCTGCATGTTTGGACGCAAGCAAACGAAACAATCATTTAAGCAGTTATTCGCATATTTCGCACTTCCGCTTGCGCCGCCATTTTTTAGGATTTAGTGTAATTTTCGCATTTTAACGTCTTCTAATTAAAATAAGCTTAAAGTTTACCAACGCAAACATACATACGTGCCGCACAGCTCGACCAACAAAATGGTCGACAAAGCAAGCAAACGCAATGGCGGTGATTCATTTGTAAGGCTGCCCAATGAACGACGGAAACACCGTTATAAGTCACGTTATAAAAAATAGCCCAACATCGCACAACACAACACAACACAACAAAACACAACGTAACTTAACGTAACGTAACGTAACGTAACGTAACGTAACGTAACGTAACATAATGTAATGTAATATAACAGAAAGTAATTGTCGCACATAGAAGAAGGGTAAGAGTAAGGGGAAGGGGAATGGGAAAGTATTCGCGTCCATGGCGGAAATAATATGAAACATGTTGGGCTATTTGTTTGTTGCGATAGTGTGATGTGGAATAAAAAAAGAAAGGAAGTAGGAAAAGAGTAGGAAAGACGCGACTACTGAATAGAGGATATGGGGTGTGGGTATGAACAAACTAACACGCGGTACGCGGCGGCGGTAGTCAGTTAGATTGCGGCTGGTTGGTATGCAATTGTTGACTTTCGGCGTGGTCCGGCGTAGTCCTCCTGGTTGCTTGCATTGTTATTGGTGGCTTAATATTTATACTTGTAATGGAGATTGGGGTCATGTAATTTCTTTCGGAAATTTTTTTTATATTTTTTTGTTAACATTTTTCAGTTTAATTTGTTTTGGCCGTTTTCGTTGTTGTTGTTGTTGTTGTTCTTGTTGTTGTTGTTGTTGTGGCAGGGTCTGCATCGTGCTTTTTCTTTCCCTAGTGTTATTTTGCTGTGAAAGTGCAACGGAAATGATTGTTTTCAAAAAATTTCATAGTGTAAATTACAAGGCGAGTGCAATTTGTTGTTGTAATTAAATTAATAGTTTTACATTGAGAGTGTAGCGTGCAGTTGAGATGTACAAAAAGTTCTTAAATTATAGGTATTTCACGAGTCATAAAAAAAATTACATTAAAACTCCGTCACGCCCGCTAATATCCACACGCTTCCGACTTGGCACGCCGAATGTTGTGTTAATTTTTAATAACTTAACTTTTTTATAATAGTTTTTTTTTATTTGAGTCCCCTTATGAAATTAAAATTGCATGTGAGTGCATGCATACATCGGTAAAAATCGGTAAAAGCCTTTGGAGCCAGCATGACATAGTGCATCACCATCACCATCAGCATCTGCCTTCAACGCCTTCAACGCCAGCAAGCACCCAACCAAGAAACAAGCGTGCAAGCAGCACTCATTCATATATAAATGGATGCATATATACATAGGTATGTGTATATGTACTTATATCTGCATATCCAATTGCAAGCATCTATGAGTTTATATCTGCGAAGCCTCGCAGATTTTAAGCACACGTCAGTGAAGTTAACATAATTTTTGTGTGAGTGCTCACATCATTTGCCGGCTCTAGTTCATTTCGAATATACAAAATATACAAAAGAATATATACAAATATACAAAAGAATTTAGTAGAAATAAAAGATAAAATATCAAAATTTTCAGCTGATTTTGCAAAAAGCATCATTATCAACATCATTGCCAGAAGTCATCCATCGGTGGCGGAATAGAGCGGAAGTGGAAACTTTATACCACTTTAAATCCTATGTCTTAGCAAATGAGTTGACTGACACTATCACGACAATTTGCAAGTCAAGCTGAGTAGTGTACGTTGTTGTCACCCAATGCCCCCTATAGGTATATGACGTATTTCTTTCTGTTAAAATCGGATAGCTGAAAATCAAAACTGGGGCTGCTTGAAGTGTTAGCAGTTAGCGAAGAGCGAAGAGCGAACACTTGAAATTTTGTAGGGAATCACTTGAATTCCTAGGAATTATAATCACAAATACCATTAATTTTTTATTTGGTTAACATGTGTGGCCTCTGTAGGGCATAGAATCATTTATGGAAGCAACCTATAATGCAATGTGCAATGCAGATTGGATGGATTGCAGTTATGAGTGCAGAGTACAAAATATTTGTAATTTTTAGGTACAAGGACGAATAAGATTAAATACTTCGTATGGTTTTCAAAGATAAAAGATATTACATCAATAAATTTCCATTACTTTCCATTTAATCAATAATATATATTGTACGTAATTGAACTCTGGAACTACTTAATATTCTTAAAACAAAGAAAGATTAGGTGTTATGAAATCGAAAATGAAAAATTATAAAAAGTTTAAAGAGAATGCATACAATAGAATAATTTATAAATTTAGACATAAATTAGTTTAAGATAGAAAAAACAAAAAATAATGAAAGGGAGGACTGACAGGCTTACCAACACCGCGTTATCGAATCTCAGAATGGTTACAGGCTCCTCGGTGATGTATGCTGACCTGAAGTCTGATGAAATGATAAACAATAATCCAGTAAAGAGGGATAAAAAGGGGTTTTGAAGATACCTCAAGTTAATAGAGAGTAAAAGTGCTCAAGTGTACTCGCTCAAATAGCTTCAACATAATAATGACAGAAAGTAAGATATAAATGGTGTGAAAGATAAATGTGTTGCGATATAAAAAGTGGTGCTGTGAGAAAATAATGTAGGAGTAAAAGAAAATTAGAAAATAAATAAAGAGAAATACATAAGTTTTTAGAAGAGATAATAAAAAGCTTGAGTTTTGACTCCAGAGAAAACACGAGTACCAAAGAAGTGAACTATAAAGAGTATTGGAAGAAAATCTAGTGAACAGATGAAATGCATGAAGAGAATTATAGAAAAAAAAATGGTGTAAGAAAAAAGTAAACAAGTTAAAGTAAAAAAATAGTGACACAAAAAAGATCCCAATTAACCAGACTTTCGTTCTTCAATTAGTGTTCCTTACGAAAAAAACTAAAGTAAAACTATCAAAGTCTTGATATAGATACAGATATAGATACAATTCAAACATATTTTAATGAATGTATCTATATAATGCATCTAAATTCTTTATTACTTAATTACTAACTATATCACTACATTCTACATCAAGCATTTCTTAAATACCTTATCCGTCTTTACTATATGCCTAAGAGGAACTATTTTTATATGGAAATTGCCGGAATATCAACAGATATTTAAAACAGACATCTGTCAAACACCCTATTGTGTCTTCTATCAGTTGGGAATATTAATGTAATATAATTATATTAATTTTTATTTGTCGAGAGAGGGCTTTATTTCTCAATTGCCTACTTAGCTCGAAGTAACATCTGTTGGCAAGAGTGATTCTTCGTTGAATATCTAGACTGACCTCATTTTTGGTGTTTACACACTGGTTCCTAAATAAACAAACTCTATCACAACTTCGAACTTTTAATTGTCAACAATTGTTTTGTTCTCATTCACCACCGGCACTGACGGCGCGGATGTTCAGGCCAATAATATCAATATCATCGATATACACAAGCAGTATTACACTTTTGTAGAATATTGTACCAGTGCAGTTTAAATCTGCTGCTCGAATTATCGTTTCCAACATTAGATTAAAGTAGTCACACAACAAGGAGTCACCCCGTCTAAAACCTCGTTTGGTATCAAACGGCTCGGAGAGGTTCTTCCCGATTCTAACGAGCTGATGGTGTTGCATGAGACAAAGTTTTCATTTGCTATCAGAATCGAGACAAATAAATCAATTCGTTATATGATATACCTATATAACGATAGGTATATATGTTTGTCGACATCTGATTTATTACAAAACATTTAAATTAATATATAAGAAACAGGGTTCGTATTTGCTCACTCATGAGCAGCTCAGGCTCATGAGCAAGAGCCAATTCTTATGTGAGCCCAAAATTGGCTCATGAGCGTGAGCCCAAAATTGGCTCATATTGAAGAGCTGCTCACTAGAGTGAGCCTTGAAGTTGCTCATATTGAAGAGCTGCTCATGAGATCTCATGAGATCTCATGAGATCTCATGAGCCGCAGCTCATACTCTTGCTCACGAGCGTGAGCCCATTTATAACTTAATGGTGGCTCTTGCTCGTGAGCGTGAGCTCTGTAGTTGGGCTCGCTCGTGAGCGTGAGCCATCGTATAAAAAGAGTTTTTTGCCGGCTCATGAGCCGTGAGCCGAATGAGCCAAAATGAGCCGCTCATGGGTACGCAAATACGAACTCTGATAAGAAATGAGAGTTTACATGGAGAATATATAAGATTTATAATTATAGATTTTTCTGAAATGTTTTTCGTTTATTCACACCAAAGAAACGTTAACCTTTCTTTGCCAGTTAAAATCAAAACACTTTTTTATTACGATTTAGTTTTGGTTTTGCAAATACAATAAACTGCACTGACTTTCCAAACTCGATTGGGTTAAGCTTAAAAATAAGCTCCTTTTTATTTCGATCTGCCGTAGATTGTTACAGATTTACAAAATAAAAAAGTAAAAAACGAAGGAAGGAAGAATGGGGATATAAAACTCCATATCCTTCAGTAAAATGTAAAATGTATTTGTTCATGACTGCAAAGAAACTGCCATAATCGGATGTCTATAACAGTGCAGTGCACAGCGTTACTCAATTTGCATATAAGCAAAAAGTTTAAACGATTTTCTGCGTACAAATTCATTTCATTGTACTTGCAACAGCAATAGCAGCAGCAACAACAACAGCAACAGCAATGGATTCACAAAAAAAAAAAATAAAAAAAAAAAGAAAATTTTAGATTGTCTGAAAAAATTCCCTTCTTACTACGATATCTTTTCTAAAATTTTCTTTTATATTTTTTTAGTTGTAATATTCCAAGGCATCCTCGTTGTCGATATCGAAGGATATAACAGCTTCTGCTGCAGAGATTCTGTTAAAGTTGCTTGCTGCTAAATTCATTGTTCCTGCAAGTTATGTTGTTGACAGCTTAGCTAAATTTATACTGCAACGACGACTGCAACCGCAAGTTGGCAGCACTGCCGCTGAGGAAGATGCATCTGCATTTTCTTGCAATTTCACAAACATTTTAACTTTCGTCAGCAGTTACAAATTTTAAAAACAACAAAAACAATAAAAACAACTAAAACAACAAAAGTAAAATAAAAAATAATTCTCAAAATAAGGCATTTCCCTAGCGTTACCAAAAACAGTTTGTGGCACGTAATTCAAGTTTGAATTTAACCACAAGGCACGTGCCAAGTCAAAATTTACAGAACAGAATTTAAATAAAAACATTAAGAAACATTAAAATTTGTATTTAATTTATTTATATAAATTTTTTTAATTATTTTTTAATTAATTGCTCTTTCAAAATTTTCCTTTGTGTCTTTTCAGATGTACCATCCAATACAAATGAAGCCTGCAGATAGTGAAAATCGTAATGGTAAGTTAAAGCCACTAAAAGAAATTCCCTCAGTTAACTTAACTGCTGCGAATAAATGTTAAAACCAAAAAATAAAAAAAAATATTTAAATATATAAAATATTTTAAAATGCAGCGAATTTCAATACAAAAAAAAAACGCAAAACACGCAAAAAACGCAAAACACATATAAATACCATTTTACTTCAAAAAAAAAAACAAATTAAGCAAACAAATGAAACCCCGGAAATGTTAAAATAAACTGTGCAAAACCTCAAAGGAGCTTATCTGCCTAAAAGTATGCAGCAAATATTTCAACCACTGACATTTAAACATTCACACGTTGTGTATTTTTGCCATTTTTCGACGTTTCTTTTTTCGGCTTTCTTTGGCCATATTTATTCAAAACTTTTTTAAACAGTTTTACTGATTTTTATATCCATTTTTTTTTGTTTTTTTTTGTATTTATTATAAACACACAATCCGGTAAACGCAAAACAAAATCGAGTTTATACGAACGGACTAGACTGACTGCCAAAAACCTCAATTTAACTGACCAACATGTTCCACCGACAGCAACAAACACTAACGTTTTAACCAATATAATATATATATATATGTATATATATATATGTGAATGTATGTGCTGTATTCAAATTCAAAAGATCTATGATCCGTGAAAGCGTCAAAAATGTGAAATAACAAACATAGTGAAAAAAAAAGAAAAAAAAAACGCTGTCAGAAAAATGTTGAAGGGTTAGAAAAATATATGAAACTTAAATGAAAAATTTTACACCATGTCAGTCTGTCCATATCGAAGTTAGAGCCGCATTCCCGGCATTGCGGACACTGCAAGCAACGAATCCGATGGCAAACCTTTTAATGTTAGTCAGAAGTGCAAATTTTATTTTGTGGTTATTCGGATGAATAAATATGTTATGCGCTCTCCAACTCACCTCTTTTGGCCCAGCAGAGGCGACCGGCTCTTAACTGCTTTAATCATTAGGTCCGAATGCACATAAGTTAAATGTTATTAAATTGTTAACTAAATTGTTTTTATAGTAAACAAGTACAGTTGCTCGCATGTGACCCACTCCTGAAATTTTTAATCTGGACTCCACGTCTATCTAGTGCGGCGCATAGACCGATACATGCATTTTTTACACGCTCACTACCAGTTTTCGTCTTTTTTGTGGTTTTATGAAACATTTTTTAATTCAGTCTCCCTACTTTTTCCACTCTTTCCGCTTTTTCTTTTTTTGCTTCCATTTTGTTCCGTTTTGGCACCAATCTTAATTGTAGCAAATTTATCCATGATGTATTTTTAACTCCTCCTTTTAGTTTGTGTGAAATATTTCATTTTAATTAAATATTCGCAAAATTTTATTGTCTTCTAAAAGGAGTAGAACATAGGAGTTCATAATTTATAGTTATTATAGTAAGTGGGGGTTTTTTATGACTTGATGAATATACAATAACTTTCTAAGGTATGCTTCTTCATATGTATGCTCCTTTATAATTTGCATAGATATAGGTTAAGTTACACCGTCGGCGATCCTAGGGGATTCACTTAGGACTATAGGTCCATTGTGCTACCGTATTATTATAAACCCAAGAGTTAAAACCATCTAGAACCTTTGGCACAGCTTATGATGCTATTCTTTAAAAAAGAAAGCCCCTAACAGAAGCAAGGCAGATGGGAGGCACTTCCCTCATCCCTACCACAACTGTGGCAGATATGGCTGAAAGGAAGATTTAGTCTCCTAACATGGTTACCAAGAATACAATGACCTGTAAGTAAACCTACTGCATAACTGATATCTCTACGGGGTTCGATTTTCTTCTATTTGTGAGTGTGGCCAAATTGCATACATATCCCTACATATCGCAGACTCTACCCATTTTTTATCAAATAACTCTGCTCAGGAAGAACTTAATACCAATTTGCATGATGTCAACGACATGACAAGATTGTTTAGGTGTTCCGAGGCATTTCTCGTCTGCTTTGCAATTACCGAAAACATGATCGGGAACCCAAATTAGAGAAAAATTGAACAACGTCGATATCTCATTTAGAGATGTGTAACAGTGAAAGACTGTTCTAAATGTAAAATGGACTGAATTTGTATAGATATACTATTCAAAAAAATATTTTTTGTAAAAATGTTTATGATAGTCTAAGTGAAAAAGAATATAAAAAAGGGACTCATATCGTTAATACTTTGTACAATTTCATTTTGCACTTTTCACTTTATGAGATCGGTTGTTCTCTTACTGACCAGAATCCCTTAACCTAATTCGTACAGCTTAAAACTGTTGGCAAGCCCAATGACATGTCTTGTTTAAGATCGATTCATTTAAAATCACAGAGTTACTGGATTTATTTTCTAGCAATCAGTTAACAGTTAATAGGAGTATATCTATTTATGAAATCATTACTATTTATAAGCTACTAAATCATTGCACCCTTTAAGTGTATGTATGATAGTATCTACACTTTACTTAGTGACTTTCTGGGAATGATTCGCCTAGTTTTCGCCACCTTGGTCAAAATGTTAGTTTAGTTATGTTTACTAATGTTAGTTTAAATGTTCTCTAGGCCTTACTTTATAGACGTTCGTGGCCATTATGCAATCCGTTGCTTTGTTAGTGGATTTTTTTAAGCCTTGTGTTGAAAAATTTCGTCGCTTTATTAACATAAGTGATATCGTGAAGTGTACTTCTTTAAAGAGAAACATTTGATGATCTTTGCACCCTTTGCTAAGAATACTTTTCAGGTAAGGAGCAGGCATCTCAAAATGATCAGAAATATACTTTCAACTAAGCTATTAGAAACCGCGGATATTTTAAAAAAGAAGCCCTAAGATGACGCAACTATCTATTGGCGGAGATTTATTTATTGTAGAAGTTTCTGTACTATATGTTAAAATTAATAATAAAATTTGACTCTTTAAATCATATTTCATGTGATGGCTTACATCAAATCTCATTAATGCAAATGTGGTACAGAAAAGTCAACTAAAGCCAACCTAAAGCAATTTTAAACGCTCTCAGTTATAAATAAGTTGATTATTTCATACAAAACTGAACTCTCATAAGTATTTAAATTACTTTAGTATATACGAAGTCACAACGTATTTAACTAAATCCCTCAAAATAACTCAAGCCCTACTAAAACTACATAATTAATTTCGTGATATTCCAATTCCATATATACATAAACTCCTTCCTATCCTAGTAAGCAAATATAATTAGTTGATTACACAAAAATGTTTAAAATGCAACTATTCGCCCACTACATTCAACAGGTCCTTTAAAAGCTGAAAGTCTGAAATCATAAAAAACACATTCGTCGCGCACTCCACAAAACCTCAAATTAACGTAAATCCCTCGAGGATACAAGCATAATTACACGCACAGCTTGTTAAACTTTTCCGAAAATGCAAACTGAAAAAACTTTTTTGCGGATCATGGTTGTTAACATAATCCAACATGGCGCCGCTAGAGGTCGCTCATTAAAAAAATATGAGCATAGTTAAACAGAGAAGCCAACGAAACAGCCCGCGAAATTAGAAACAGGGACTGCAGCTGGAATACGATGTTATGAGGTTGCGATGCGGCGATGCGGCGAGGATACGAAGTTGACACTTAAGTGGTTATAATTTCTAGTGGATGATTTCTGCTGTTATAGCGTCAAATTAGGAAAAAAGCCAAACAAATAAAAAAAATATACTAAACTAAAGAACTTTTTCAGAATCATGTCAGAGCTTCACACTATTGAATTATTTTGTTCCGCAGTGTCAGTTTTTTGTACTCAAGTTTGTTTTCTCGTTAGCAGACGAATTCACTTAATTGATACTCATCGTAGTTGTAATAGATTTTGTCTTTTTTTATTTGTGTGGTTGGCAATCATTTTTGTTACAATATTAGTAGTCACTGATAAATAGTTATGGTCTCATTTCGGATGTTAATTAGAGCAACTCGAAAACTCATTAAACCCAAATAACGAAACCTCTCGAAAATGAGATAGAAATAATCGAAAAGTAATTACTTGTACTTCATCTATTGAACTGAATTATAAGTTGAACTCAATGCCAGCATTTGTTACTGAAATTAATGAAGAACTCAACGGTCTATTTTTTCCATATCCCTTTCCTATAACACTTTCTATATCACTTTTAGGTTAAGCAACTTGATTGTCTAAGTTATTCGATTATAGCATTTGAGCACCTTTTGAGATATAGTTTGCTTCAAAAAGTGAACATTAATGACCGGACTGCCTCTAGAAAGACAGATGAAAACTAAGATATATGATATGCAGTACAAGGATTCAAGATGACTCATAGACGCTGCAATAGTGACTAGAAAAAACCGACCTCATCGTCTCGAACTTATTCATAATGTCAAACAGTCAAGCAGAATTCAAATCAATAATGGCGTTTTCAATAAATTCGAAACTTGTTTCGAAACACTTTGAACTTAAATAGCTCTATTATTTTATTTTAAATATTGGGACTTAGGGGACATACTGTTTGTCCAAAAAGGTGCATGAAACCGTTTCAATTTTCCAGAAAATTTTGTTAAAAGTAGTAGTTGGTGACAGTAGAAGACATCGCATATAACCTCAATATAAAGGACATTAAAACCTGCACTGAATTAATGACTGTAGACTCAATTACTACCTAAAGAATATAGGACGAGTACACAATAAATCGGACTGTAAAATAAGCTTTCATACATATTAATGCTTTTCACAGCAGAGTACTACAAGTGATACAGTACCTGGTAATGAGAATGAAAGATCTTCTAGGTCGTAGTACCTTCACAGCGGTCTTACAACTTATTTTTTCTTTTGTAAAGAAAATAACTAAATAACTACATATTAAAGTATAAATCAATTTAATCTGCATAGAACACATTTCTGAGAAAAAAAAATATATTAAACCACAAGTTCCAGTATACATTGACAATACTTCTATGGCGTTAATAAAAATAAAACTACGGCTTATGGCTTAAGAACTA